ACCAGCTTAAACCAGCATCCCAGCGTCAAAACATACCTAACCAGCATATGCTGTTTTTTTCAACAGGGACACCTTAGCAAACACATAACAGCACCCTGTCAACCGTCACAGCAGACTAGCATCGTAGCAGTGAACTTTACACAGGCACGCACCACATTTTCTTCATAAAATGTCAAACTTTAGTAATCTAATATGAGAAGAGCAGCCTGGATTAGTTGGTGACATCAGTCTCGGCTGTGGGGAATGGATTGGATCATTAGGGATTTGTGTCAGTTGGAAAACTGACAGCAATGGACGAAATCCTTTCAGGCTGCTGGTGACTCACCTCAAATCATTCATAAGATGATTTGTATTATTTAATGTGTCTTAATTATGCCTGAATAAGCCGAAATGAGGATTCTGTGTAAAGTGACTGAAACTAGATAATAAAACAATGATAGCAACTTTTAATTTCAGCAGAAACAGCTGTAAACAGCAGACTGAAAGTTTACAGTATATCACAGAGGAAACTATAGCACAGTCAGGAAGATATTATGCGTAAGATGAAGCAATATGATCCTGCTGGGAAACAGTATTTAAATGCGTATGTTTGTAAGGCACTATAGAGAGAGATTCTGTGCTAGACGAGCGCTGATAACAATACTTATGAATTCCAGTGATAATAGAAGCATCTGTGTGTGTTCAGATGAAACCACACACTGATACATTTACATGAAACTCTGTTCATCAGTGGGATTGAACAAGAGAAGATAGCAAAAGAAAATTAAAGTTCTCCACAGGCTGGTAATTTGGTGGCTCATGTTTATGTTCATTTATGGAAGCGTCTGTTATCATCATTGTTATTTACATCCCTCAGGAACTGGAACTTTGTGTTATGGCCCAGAGCTTTAGCTAAAACACGAATCAAAATTTCAGTCTCTGCAGCAGACGGGTACAGTCATCTCATTATGTTTATGGAAAGAAGCAATGTTTGTTAGCTGAGGGTCAGTTGCTCTTAATGGACAAGAATATATGACTAAAAGCAAAAAATAAATATATATATATATATATTTGCAATTCCTAAGCCCTCAACATTTTATCACTACTGAAAAAGAGTAACAGCTGTGATGTGTCTACATTTAAAATTCACTGTGATTAACCAGCATCCTCTCTCTGTTTTCTTCATTGGTTGTGAGGTCTCAGTCTCACTGTCTCTCAGTGCGGGTGTGATAATATCTCAGACTCTCTTTAGGGACGGCTGGCTTTTGCAGTCTATAATGAGTCACTGGGGGCTTTTGCGGCTCAACATGTGCGATAGATCCTCACAACACTTTTATCCAACACCAGCTGCACAGAAGAGAGGAAAAAACACAAGTGTCTTCATTTGAAACCTTCCATGGATTCACATATGCTGGAGTTTGTGTTGAACTTGAGCTATTGTATTTATTTCCAGTATGTTGTGTAGACTTGCTTTAGACTTTGTCAATCATCCAGCAATGGTTTGAAACCACTGAGAACTTTAGCTAAAACACGAATCAAAATTTCAGTCTCTGCAGCAGACGGGTACAGTCATCTCATTATGTTTATGGAAAGAAGCAATGTTTGTTAGCTGAGGGTCAGTTGCTCTTAATGGACAAGAATATATGACTAAAAGCAAAAAATAAATATATATATATATATATTTGCAATTCCTAAGCCCTCAACATTTTATCACTACTGAAAAAGAGTAACAGCTGTGATGTGTCTACATTTAAAATTCACTGTGATTAACCAGCATCCTCTCTCTGTTTTCTTCATTGGTTGTGAGGTCTCAGTCTCACTGTCTCTCAGTGCGGGTGTGATAATATCTCAGACTCTCTTTAGGGACGGCTGGCTTTTGCAGTCTATAATGAGTCACTGGGGGCTTTTGCGGCTCAACATGTGCGATAGATCCTCACAACACTTTTATCCAACACCAGCTGCACAGAAGAGAGGAAAAAACACAAGTGTTTTCATTTGAAACCTTCCATGGTTTCACACATGCTGGAGTTTGTGTTGAGCTTGAGCTTCTGTGTTACATTTTTCATTGTCTAGACTTGCTTTAGACTTTCAGTCAATCATCCAGCAATGGTTTGAAACCACTGAGACCATGAACTGGACAAAAGAAGATGAAGATGTTCTGCTGGATGAGTTAGAGAAGAAAGACTGGGGTTTGTTGGATATTGAGGAAATCTATTGACCCTGCAGAGAGCAACATGCAGCTAAACAAAGAGGTGGTGGTGGATTTCTGCAACGCCAGGGATTCATTCAGTTGTAAAGCGTGGAGGTGGTGAAGTCTTAATAATTATTTGGGAATTTACTTGAACTGACACATTTACACCTCATATTATTAAAGTGATCCAATCACAAGTGATCAGACTTGAATATAGGTATAAAAATGGGATCTAATTTCATCACATTGCATTTGTAGCAAAAGTGCTAACATGTCTTGAAGCAATCTGAAATCTGTTTTTTCCTTGTTGTTTTTCAATGTACTAAAGAAAATTGGCCATTCATTACTTTAAACATTGCTGCTGTCTGTTTATCCCTGCTATGAAAGACGGTCTAGATCTACAGATTTTTCTACTTTATTCATGTTCCCAGTGACGTTCAAACTGATGCATGTTCACAGTTAGTTTCATTGCATTTCAGATGTGTGTTTTGCACTGTTAACTGTCAAGACACATTCCAGTGATGTCACTTGAATACATTACCGCACTGCATACTGTTTCCAACTCTAAACCGTTTAAGCATACTGTGAGTGTATATATGCTACTGTATATCTGTTTTGTGTGCTCTGTATTATTGCAGTCATACCAAATTTCTCCTCAAGGATCACTGAAGCATCTAACTTGAGCAAGAACATTTTCTTCACTGTAACACTAGTATGTGACATTTTTATTGCCAGAATCTTAATGATATTCTTTCATTGTGGGTATCTGATCATCACCATGTGACCCTGAACCTCCAGTCACAAGTTAGTTTGACACAGTTACACACCAGCCTCAAGCAGACCTACACATACCTGCAAAATAGGACTCTATAAGGCTCAGATCCACCTGTAAAATAATTCACAGGAGTAAATGCATGTCCTCATTACAGTCAAGCAGCCTGCAATATGAAAATTAATTTGTGCCTTCAAGTGCTAAGTTGTTTATATTCTCTACAACATCACCTCAGCATAAAACCTCTCTGTTGAAAAAAACAGCATATGCTGGTTAGGTATGTTTTGACAGGGCTCTGGGTATTTTTTAGCATGTTGCCTTAAGATAAAACATTGCTTATCACAATGTCTTGTTCTAGCTAATGAACAAAGCTTTCTTTAGCAGTTAGCAGTATGCTAAGTAAGCAAGGTTGCTAACCGAAGGCATTTAGTGGTAAGCCAAGAGAGTAGCTAAACTGTTAACTTGCTAACCAAAGGCAAACTGAAAACAAAGAAAGATGTATTGTTTTAAACATTTTAGCTTTAATATGATGTGATATGTCATTTAAAAGACATTCATTAACACATTTTCATGATTAAGAATGAAAACACCATTATGTGTTATTCTATCATTTCTTATCAGGCACTGAAGAGAGTAAAATGGGGCTAATGCCACACCTTAAGGGAAATGTGCTTTTCACTGCTGCCATATTGTTTGATTGCAGCTTTTTATTTAATGATACATTTCATGGGAAAAGAAATCATAAAGTAGTTTGGTTTGTTTGGGACAAAAGGCCTCCAGTATTACTGATACAAATACTTTAACTAAAGTAATATGTTTTGCATAATGTAAAAGTTAATACTTGTTTATTACAATCACTTCAACAAATATGGTTCCATATTATGTTTATTTTGATACATACAATACTTCAGTTTACTTTTATACAATAAGTACATTGTTATGTGTTTATATACGTACATATTCTTACCCTGGTGCGCCTTTATCCCTGTTGTTCTCTACCTATAAAAACTTTTCTCAGTCAATGAAATAGCTTTGTTGAGGAAGGGGGGAAATTGTTAAAGTAAAGTTACGATATGTTGTTTGGAGCTTGTTCAAATGATTCTGTCTTGCATTAGATCTGTTGATGTTACAGTATTTATTGCTGTTGGTCAGCTCTGCTGTGCTCTTGTCGTCTGGGGTAATTTATGCTTGCAGACAGCAGACCACGTCCACCGGTGTGTCAGCCATTCAGACAGCAGACCACGTCCACCGGTGTGTCAGCCATTCTGACAGCTGAAAGAGGGGCGGCCATCCATTGTGGCAGCTGTCAGACAGGCTTTTACTGGATGTGCACTCATACCTAGAGATGTTCATACACACACTAACACATGAAAGCACACACTCACAGATGAATCGACATCAAAATGAGGTGGCGACACAGAACATGACAGCGATTGGGTGACGAGTGATACACAGCTGTGTGTGTGTGTGAAAGAGAGATAGCACTCTGGGAAAGAATGAAAGCTGATTTCTTTCAGCTTTGACACTGCTGGGCTTTCTTTCAGCTTCACAATCATCTGATATTTCTGACTTTGTCACTTTGCCTGCTGGTGCCGAGACAGAGAGGAAATCGCACAAATATATCCCACAATCCCATTAAGTCGTGGGAGTCCATATGTGTGAGATTATGCACGTCATACAGTATGTATCTGCGGCAGTGACATTTAAACCCTGAGATCAAATAGAAGCGTTTCAGCTGTTATTTCTCTCTTTGTCTCATTTCAGCTTCCAGTGGCAAATACCGCTGACGCTCGCAGTGGGAAACTCCAGTCACATATCAACAGAGACCATCATCTGGGTCTCCAATAAAACAGGTACCAATTATGCTAAATGTGTTTTCATTGTAACCACCAGATAAAAAGTAATAACACAATGAATAAACATAAGTGTACACATCTTAATCCTTTTTGTTTTCCAAAATGTTTAAAAATATATTTTTCAAGGTAAAAAGTAGTTTTTTACAAATGTCATGAATTATTTATGTATCACGCCATGTAAGTCGCACTGCATGATAAATTGTCAGTCACGACCTAATTTTGCCTTGTCATAAGAGGGTAAAAAGATCACAATATTGAAGTGAATTAATGATGCTGACAAACAATAATGAGAATCCCCATGATATAATTTCCTGATTTTGACTTATGGCTTTGATTTGCCTGACAAAAACAAAAAACAACAACAACAATAATACTACTACTAATAATAATCATCATCATCATCATCATATAATGATAATATTAATAATAATTATAATTATATATTATTTATCATTATTTTTAATAATAATACGTTTTATTATTGTTATTAATATTACTATTATTATTATTATTATTATTATTATTATTATTATTATTATTAGTAGTAGTAGTAGTAGTAGTAGTAGTATTAAACAAGATAAATGATTAGAGAGAGAGAGAAAAAAAAATATTATGCCAAACTACATTGTTTTAATAAGGCTTTTCTTCCATTATATTGTCAGTATTCCCAGGCATTTTTAACATCCCTAAAAAAAAATTAAAATTTTAATTAGTAAGAATAAATGGAAATTAATTAAGTCATTGTATGTATGAATTGAATTCTCTTAAGTAAATTTTTAGATCTGAACAGGTAATTGAGTGTCAGAGTGTTGACTTATGAAGTCCACAACTGCTGTCATATCAACCAGCTGCACATAAAAATACAGATGAAAGTACAAATTAAATTGGATTTCCTCATTAAATTGAATTAAATCAGCTCTTGAGAGTGCTTTAATGTTAATGTCCTTTTACAACACATTCAACATACTATTCATCTCTGAGTCACACATTCATGCAGCAGCTCCACGTCCACCATCATTAAATTCAATTCTGTTCCATTCCTTTCCTCTCCATTGGGAGAACGAGGTGGATTTTCTTCGGATGGAGCCACAGCGAGTCAAATTTCAAGAGCCGGAATTGAATTTGGTCTGCAAGTGATCCGTGTGACTCAGAGCTCAGAGTTCCTCTGATTGTGAGACCATTTAACAGCCTCCATTTTCAGCTCACCTTCCTTTATAAACAGCCCTCATCAGGGCTACAATGCAGATCCACAGCAGCTTTGACAGAGAAACAGAGACTGTAACATAGAGACCCTATTTATATGCATTAACTCACCGCCTGACTCTTGCAATCTGCCCGTTGACGCTTGGATGCTCCCTGGATCACGATACACTTCAAATGCATCGAGTCCACGAGCGCTCGAAAGCACTTAACCAATGCATTTGTTATCCATGAAAAAGCACAAGGTCTGGCTGGAATATTACAAGATGAGAACGTGGCAAACACATTAGATTACAGATGTTGTGCATTACGAAATGCTGAATGCATTGTCTCTTCATGTATATTTTCATGCAGGACTGCTTTTATGAGTTAATTCCAAAGATGATAAATGCGCTGAAATTTTTAAACATTGATATGAATAAAAAGCTTTGTGAGTGCACTGTCAGGCAGAATATATCAGTCCATATGAACTACAGTGGGCAGCTTGTTTAATTTTCTGTAATATTTCATTAGAAATATATTTTGATTCTTTAATTTCTGTTATCTAATGATATTCACATCTGTCTGTGAGTGTCTAGATGTCATTTGGCGCTGTGTGTTTCTGCTCATATGCGTGAGAGTCGAGCTACAGTGAGCTGTCAGAAGTGTCATTAAACGTTTGTTTCATGCTCTTTTTTCACTCGTGTATTTATAGAGACGCACAGAGTGGGTCACATGGGCAGCGAGACGTGGTTGCTGGGCAACATCAATCAAACAGGCTACTTCAGAGTGAACTACGACCTTCACAACTGGGGACTTCTCATTCAACAGCTGATGACCAACCCAACGGTAAACTTTCTTCCACCTCTGTCAGTCCATCATCTTTTGAGTTTCTTTTCGTTCACGATCCTTCCGTTTCCTCATTCTCCTCATCGCTCCTGTCTCTCCTGCATGGTTCCTGTTGCATTATAAATGTCTCTGCTTGTTCTCCGCCGGCAGATCATCTCTGTGGGCAACAGGGCCGGACTGATTGATGACGTCTTCAACCTGGCGAGGTGGGTTCTGTTTGTTACACACAGAGTCATTCAGAGCCTGAAACCTGCACTACAGATCCATTTAACGTCCTTCACACCCACAGAGAACCGCTGGACTATTCAGTCTCATTCAGCTTTATTTGTGTGCTGCTTTTTATTGTCACAGTAACTGTCACATTATTTCAGGGGCTCGTTCACCTATCAGTACACCTACCAGAGTATAAAAGCCTGTTGAGACCAAGTCTGGATTTTCAGCACAAAAATCATATTCAAAATGAAAAAAATAATCTGATTTCAAAATGAAACATTTAATCTCTAAGAACTTCACTACGGTCAAAATTAAGTAATTAAATCCACATTTAATTGCACAAATTAATTGTTATCCCATAATAATTATTGTTATTAACATCTCATTATATCTTTTGTTTGCATTTAAATAATTTTCTTTTTAAAATAAAAAGGAGTATTAAAATAGCATCACCAGACAATGTTCATATATTTGATCCGCTAATGCCAGATGAATTACATTTAACATGATCATGTCATATTCACCAGCTGTAGGAATGCATCAGCAGTATGCAAAAATTATATGATATTCATCTTTGCATGGTGCATTAAGTTTTGCGTAATTACACCAGCAGTTGAATCTAAGTACTCAAGCAGAAACGATTAGCCATTTGGCATCAATAACAATAAATGATTCATTCTTTTTTTTATTATTTTTTTTATCATAAAGACAGATATTTAGCACCAGGTGTTTGGAAAGACCTAAATCTCAAAGCCAACACAGATTTTCTTTTGGTCAGCCTGAAAGCCTCTTGAAAAAGCCGTCCATCACAATAGTAAAGAAAAGCCTGATTCAGTCAACTTCAGTAAGACGTTCATTACTGACAGATGCAGTTCTTGTACTGTAATTCTCTTTTCTCCTTTAGCCTGAAGGCGTTACTGAAGAAAACCCTTTAGCTCATCAAGATGAGAACTGCACTGAGACTATTGAGCCGTTACTGCAATAGTGGATAATAAGAAAGCGAGAGAAAACCTCTGTGTTCCCGCCTTTCCACTGCTGCCTCATTGTGTCGATCCTTCAGAGCTTCATCAGTAGCTGGAAACTCATGAACGTCTATTAATGTAAGAGGAGAAAGAGACAGAACGATAAAGGTAGAGACAGTTTATATAGTGCCACAGGCTGCCAAGCTGCCATTAGTCCCTTCAGGAACCACCGCTCTCCCTAAGGCCCTCTCTATTTAATTCAAAAACTCTAACTCATTCTGCTTAATGAAGGAAATTTCAATCGCTGGCAGCTAGAATCAGTCGGCAGCCAAAACAGTGTTTGAGTATCACTGATGGACTTTCTTAAACATTGAATGTTGTGTATTTACCGTAGATGTGGTTTGTAAAGATTGTGAAATTCATTAGTTTTACAGGACAGTCATTTTTATTCTTCCTCCAAACTAACTGAGGAAGCTGCCAGATGCTCTGCTAGCATTAGCACCGTTCTTCATCAAACTGCAGCGACAGGCTCATCTGCCGGTGCTGTGCGGCTCTCGTCATGGAGAATTGTATTTTTGGCCACAGATGTTTCCTAAGAATGAAGATTCAGTCAACTGACGACAAACCTGCAGGGAAACTTGTGTTTATTGCTGTCACGTTGGGCCGAGAATGGAAACCTGTTCCCCTGCGTTGTGGTACGTCATGGTAATTTAGTCTGCTTCATCAAACTGAAGCGACAGGCTCATCTGCCAGCGCTGTGCGGCTCATGTTGAGCTAGACAGGGGTTTATCAGGCACGTGGAGAATTGTGTTTTTGGCCACAGATGTTTCCTAAGAATGAAGATTCAGTCAACTGACGACAAACCTGCAGGGAAACTTGTGTTTATTGCCGTCACGTTGGGCCGAGAATGGAAACCTGTTCCCCTGCGTTGTGGTACGTCATGGTAATTTAGTCTGTTTATTCGGTTCGGCCTCGTTTACTGAAGAGCTGGATAATTAAAACTTAACAGGACTAAAGGCAAATCCTTTTGTTCCTGAGTTTTGATTTCAGTCAGGTTTGTACATATTGTTTCTCTCTGCTGTTGTTTACAGCTAATCCTAATAAATAAGAGCGGATGTTAACAGGATGTCTTGTTCAACCTCAAGGCTCAGATCTGTGGAGGTGGTTATTGGCGCTTACGTACTTGAGAAGCGAAAATGCCAACCTGCATATTAAAAACAGCATCATCATTAATCACAATGTGTAAAATGTCTAATTTCTCTGTAAATTACTGGGATGATGAAGAGTGTTCATATGACTGAGGAAACTGAATGGGCTCTGCTGTCTTCAGTAATGTTACCTAATTAAATGCCCCTGGTGCTCATGGGAGTCACTCACAGATCAATATTGCCTCACAAAGCTCAGTCAGCCTTTATTATGATTATGAATTACTGGATCAATTGAGGAGAAGAAAGCTGGTGTTAGTGAAGCCTAGTTTAAGAATAAAGATCATATTTCAAGTGCATTATTATAATAACCTTTTACATCTTTCATTAAAATACTGGAATTCTCACTATTAACTAGCATGCATATTACAAGCATATTGGCTGTTTATTAGTACTTATAAAGCACATATTAATGCCTTATTTGCATTAACATATTTTAGATCCCTTAATTCGACCCCAAACTTAACACCTACCTTAGTAACTATTAATAAGCAGTAAATATATTTATTAATATCTATTAATAAGCAATAAATATATTTATAAATATATTTATATTTTAGCACATTTGTAGATATGCATTGTGTCTACTGTACTTGAATCTACTTAATGTTGATTTTATTAAAACACATTGTGTCAAGATTTTCATTACTATATATTGCAGTATACTATAGTAACAAGATAAAAAAGGTTGACTTTTTATTTTATTTTACATGTGATTCACAGTCGCATCAAAACACAATCCATTTTTTATTTATTTTTGCAGCAAATTTATAGTGTTAACAGCAGTTTATGTTTGTAGTTTAAGTACTTAAGTTCTACTAAAATAAATTAAAGCAATTAACAGTTGCTATTAACAGCTCGCTGTCATTACTGTGATCACCAGCTACTTGTCTTGACACAGTGTGCTCTGAACTTCCATAGAAACGCTGGTCTGTTTCTAACCCCATATTAGCATCATCAGCAGATTGTTGCCATAGAGGCACAAGGTTTGTTTGTGGCGCTTGTAAAACATCCCAACTCCTGTCGACAATTCTGTCATTTCTCACACAACAGCGAGAACGAGTGCATATTTTCAACTTTTTAATATTCTTTTTCCTTTGACACAATATTTTTTATGCACATAGTGAGATCTCATTTGACTCAGAGTGATGGAGCTTCTTAATAGGCCTGTTTGAAATGCTCTGCTAAAGCCTCGACTAAATGAGCTACAATTACAGGCCAATTTAGAAAGTCAATGATTTATTTAGGAGACTGTTATGTTACTCTTTATATACTCATGAATTAAAAATCCATTTGAATTTTAGAGTCCAATGGTCGCCACACACTCCTTTTTATTTTACCTTGCTGTTCTTCAGCAGTGCTATTATCAATAATAAATGGCCTTCATGCAATGCAACACATGTTTCTCTGAGCTTGTGTGTGTGTACTAGCACGTTCCTGAAGCGCAAAAGTGATCAACTCATTAATTACTGTGCTCACTAACAGCAGGGAAACTTCAACGCCTCATGACAGTTTTATGGTAATGTTGCGTTTATATTTAATGAACATTTTCCCTCTGACCTTCGATAAGAAAGCTGAATAATTCAAAAATACAAGGAAGAAAGGACAGTTTTATAAAAGGGAGGAACTGACTGGCCTCCAGTCTATCTATCTATCTATCTATCTATCTATCTATCTATCTATCTATATATCTATCTATCTATCTATCTATCTATCTATCTATCTATCTATCTAAAGGTCAATGTGACAAAATGAGATGTGATTTGTGTCGTCTACCAGCTATCATTCACTTCACCTTTAATGTGTTGTGACAGGTGAAGTCAATGCAGTGATTTATATGCTACTGCGTCTTTAAACGCTAAAGAGAAAAACAATATAATTAATGCACATGTGATGTGATTAAGCTCTTGGCTCAGTGTGAAAACTGTACCCTTCATGTGTGCACATCAGTCAAGAGATATACATTGAATATTTCCATGTAATCAGTGTGAAAGAATGACAGTGTTTCAAGTACCTTGGCATCATTAGAGGCTGATTAATTGTTTATTTTAATACAATTATTGCTCATTAGACCATAGTCTAATGCTTTATTCTGTTTGACTGACACAATGGTTTTGATTTATTTTCTATAACCACACAGCTGTTGCTGTTGACCCGGTTTCTAAACAAGATGCATAATCAATGCCGTACATAAGTGGTTTACACATGCTTTTGACAAAAAATCTGAAAATATTTGGAGATATGCACACGTACATGTGGTAATCGCAGTAAACGTACAATTATTGACTGAAGACTGTTGAATTATTGAAAATTAATACATGCCTGAGGTGTAAAAGTCACTGCTTTGGGTTTGCATTAACTGCAAATAATGCAACAGTCTGGAGTCAATTACTCCTAACATCTATAAAGCTGTAAGACTGACATAAATGCTAGTGTCAGTCAAATAAAGCATTTCTGAGCTCTCATTTTCTGAATATTTTGAAATACAACTGAGCAATACTTTTCCATTACCATGTATAATAGGAAAATTTGACTTCATATTAAAACTTTAAGGACCATTAATCCCTGAACTTCATGCACATATTAAAGGAAATTAGAAAACTCTCCATCCTTTTCTAATGTAATAACAGGCTGTTTAAAGGAAGAACATTGCTCTAGATGCAAACCTCTTTGAACGCCTTGATATAAAACTCTTCTTAGTCACATGGTATATATTCACCTTTTTGATGCTATAAACACATTTGCTAATTTTTTCGTGGAGATGTGGAAATCGTTTTTAGTTCTTCACATCCTCAGTTGTCTCCTGCTAATGTGAATGCAAATCAGTTTCTCTGAAAACCTCCTTGGGTAACAGTGGGTGTCTGTGAGTAACTGTGATTAATGTCCCAATTAAATGTGTGTTGGGTGAATCTGTCCTCCAGAATTGAATGAGTCCGTTTTCAAGTCTGATCACTTCCTTTTTCGCCTGACCTCAGATTCGGAGCACTTATGTGCCCTGCATGAAATTGAGAAACTGAAATAGACAACCAAGGCTCATCATACATACATTTCACTGCGGTTTTCAGCTGAAATTACCACTAATGGCACTAACAACTTTTGGTCACACTTTATTTTAAGGTCCAATTCTCGCTATTAACAAACCATTAATTATAACTTTTGTCTCAATAAACTCCTAATTTGCTGCTTATTAATAGTTAGTAAGGTAGTTGTTAAGTTTAGGTATTGGGTCGGATTAGGGATGTAGAATATGCTCATGCAGAATATGTGCTTTATAAGTACTAATAAACAGCCAATATGTTAATAATAGGCATGCTAATAAGCAACTAGTTAATAGTGATACTGGTCCCTATACTAAAGTGTTACCCAACTTTGATTGCTTTTCACAACAATTTAACTGGAAATTTCACTTTGAAAGTGTCACAAAAGGCGCAAGAAGCAACATAATATTATTTTGCCTAAAGATCACGTCAGTAATGTTTTTGCAAAGAGCCTGGCTTGGAACGCAAATGCGGCAAACAAATTAGCACTGCTCATGTGAAGTGCACGTAGACACAACTGACAAGCTAACAGCAAAACACTCTAATAAACATAAAATAACACAGCACACACAAATTATATACTTGAAAACAATGGTAGCGACAGTGCTGGCCTTGCTATGGTGTTCTAAGAGGTTGCATAATGTAGTAGTGACACTGTGCTTGCTAGAAAACGTTCTTTAAATTCAAAGACTTGTGGAAAGTCTCGTCTTTCTTGTTTTTGGTCTAAGGATATTGGCCACCTCTGTGTTGTTCTGCTCTCATGGGAGGATTGTAGGTGTTTCTAAAAAGGCCGAGGGGAAAAAGGAAAAGACATTTGAAGCTTTTAGAAGAGATCTTATGTTTTATGGATTTATGCAAATTGAACACGACTGTAGCCGTACAGGAGAAGCTGTTTTTTTGTTTCTTACAGCACATTATGACTCCCCACGCAAAGCACAATGCCTGGCAGTTATTCTAAATGAATAATGATGAACAAAATTAACTGTTTGTAATCAAATGTTAACGATGTGTCTTCCAAAGGGGAAATATGTATAAAAATGAGCTGCTAGTGTCTGATCCTCATGCTTTCTTTCTTTTCTCTAGAGCGGGGTATTTGCCCCAAAACGTCCCCCTGCAGATGATCTCATATTTGTCTCAGGAGACTAATATGTTAATAATAGGCATGCTAATAAGCAACTAGTTAATAGTGATACTGGTCCCTATACTAAAGTGTTACCCAACTTTGATTGCTTTTCACAACAATTTAACTGGAAATTTCACTTTGAAAGTGTCACAAAAGGCGCAAGAAGCAACATAATATTATTTTGCCTAAAGATCACGTCAGTAATGTTTTTGCAAAGAGCCTGGCTTGGAACGCAAATGCGGCAAACAAATTAGCACTGCTCATGTGAAGTGCACGTAGACACAACTGACAAGCTAACAGCAAAACACTCTAATAAACATAAAATAACACAGCACACACAAATTATATACTTGAAAACAATGGTAGCGACAGTGCTGGCCTTGCTATGGTGTTCTAAGAGGTTGCATAATGTAGTAGTGACACTGTGCTTGCTAGAAAACGTTCTTTAAATTCAAAGACTTGTGGAAAGTCTCGTCTTTCTTGTTTTTGGTCTAAGGATATTGGCCACCTCTGTGTTGTTCTGCTCTCATGGGAGGATTGTAGGTGTTTCTAAAAAGGCCGAGGGGAAAAAGGAAAAGACATTTGAAGCTTTTAGAAGAGATCTTATGTTTTATGGATTTATGCAAATTGAACACGACTGTAGCCGTACAGGAGAAGCTGTTTTTTTGTTTCTTACAGCACATTATGACTCCCCACGCAAAGCACAATGCCTGGCAGTTATTCTAAATGAATAATGATGAACAAAATTAACTGTTTGTAATCAAATGTTAACGATGTGTCTTCCAAAGGGGAAATATGTATAAAAATGAGCTGCTAGTGTCTGATCCTCATGCTTTCTTTCTTTTCTCTAGAGCGGGGTATTTGCCCCAAAACGTCACCCTGCAGATGATCTCATATTTGTCTCAGGAGACTGAGTTTCTGCCATGGCACGCTGCTAGTCGAGCTCTTTACCAGCTGGACAAACTCCTGGACCGCACTGAAGACCACAGCCTGTTCAGCGTGAGTCTGATCTCACATCAGTTTGCTGTTTGTTGTATTTTAACCTTGACTAGAGCAATAAGAAAGACACGGCTGATATCTAGCAGCACGTCTCAGATGACTCGACTCACCGCCAGACAGATCGAACTCAAAAATTCCTCTGATCATCATCCAAAACAGCAGTCCAAAATGTTTCCAGACACAATGCCTGTTTGCTGCAGCATTTTATAAACTCATGCGTACTAAAACAGTGTCAAATCTCCACCATTGCTTGTGTTTAATTGGCAATGTTCAGAATAGCATACTACCATTCTACTCATACTGTTTCTACAGTATACACTAAGTATGTTATTGGAAGTTATTGGAAAAGAAAGAACTATGAGCATTTTGTGTGCAGTGTGTACTGCACAGTATGCAGTGTGCTAGTATTCCATTCTGAACGCAGCCTAACGTGACAGTGTCTATTTCCCTGTCTTACCTGTCCACCTGCTTTCATATTAATTTATCACTTCGTTATTCAAAATATCACTCAAACGCCTACCCACAATCCCTCGGTGCGCATGAGTCATTTCTGCCCCTCCTCTGTAATAGACGACGCTTTAGTGTCAGCAGTGAGAGTGTGATGAATTTAATAGCTTCTTCTCTCTATTTCTCTCCATCATTGTGTTTACTGTGAGACAAAGCAGATGTTTAGGATGTAATGCAAGACAGGCAACAGCTGGAACAGATTAGTCAGGACACTTCAGTCATGTGACCAGATGTTTCAACCTGCCAGACCAAACCCCTCTGTGTGTGTGCGTGTGCTGGCCAGTGCATTTTGGCCCGTTCACACACAAACACAACATCACTAATCGTCAAACTGAGATTAATTTGTTGGCAAAATAAGAATACGTCACTCAATTGCTGTAGTAACAGCTTGACAAGCTGTAGGCACCTGATCCGCCTCAGTATGGAAAACAATGTCCTCTACAAGCCTTTATGTGCTTTTATCCGTGTAAGTGTGTGTTAAGAATTGAATTGCGGCATAGCAGGGTCTAATTGTGATCATTCACTCGTCTCAGCAAGAGGGCATGAAGGAGAGCAGTCATGCTAAATTAGCCATGACATTACCTGCTGCGACATTTCCCTCAACCGTATAGGGAGGAGTCAAAACACACACACACACACACACACACACGCACACACTTGTACTGTATACAATACAATACAAAACAAAACAATAAAAAAAAAACTAATAATTTAAATCCTGGTCTCAACATGGCAACCGTACTGACTCTTTTCTGCCATTTGTTTTGCACTTTTGTTTGGTTTTGCTTGACTTTGCATTTCTTGTTATGTTTTGCTTCAATAATTTCTTTGCTTCCCTTCCCTTCCCTTCCCTTCCCTTCCCTTTCTGTTTTGTTTTGTTTTGTTTTGTTTTGTTTTGTTTTGGTTTGTTTTGTTTTATTTTGTTTTGTTTTGTTTTGTTTTGTTTTGTTTTGTTAGGACTATGTTCTAAGACAGGTGGAACCGAAGTATCACAAGTTGGGCTGGCCAGCCACTTCCACTGAGGGCTCCTTCGTGCAGGCGGCTTATCAGACCGAGTGAGTCTTGAATTTCATATTTCTTGAATTATATATTACAGTTATAAACTTATATGTAGTCTAAGTAAGGACACTGAATTGTAAAGTTTAAGCTAGACATTTTTCACCTCAGAGATGGGAATGACCTCAGTAGACAGTATTTAATTTTTCATTTTCCCCTTCCTCCATCTTTAACTTCCTGCTGATGCACTTCCTTCTTTCCTCCTCAGAGAGTTGCAGAGAGAGGTAATGATGCTGGCCTGCAGTTTTGGAAACAAACACTGTCACCGGCAGGCTGTTTCTCTCATTTCAGACTGGATTTCCAGCAACAAGAACAGGTGAGCAAATTAACAGAGTGACACCCACACACTGTACCGTAACAGCTTTGATTAAATCCCAGCATTTCTCCTCACTGGCTTGACACAAAAACAAACATATCACAAAGTGCCATAATGAGGTTTCAATTAATTGCTGGCAGTTGAGGCAGTATTTTTTATCGAATTGGTTAAACTTAATTCTAGTTTGTCATATATTAGTTTGTCTAAATCATGGATTAAATCAGACAGCTCTATGATTCACTAAATTGGCACAAAATACTGAGATAACACTTAACTGAATCAGATTGGACTGCTACTAACAGAATGTTTGTTTAGTGATGTGTAGTTAAAAATGCTCATTCAAACCTTTTTTTTTTTTTTTTTCAAATTACCATTTTAATATATAAGACGTTGCAAAAATAGTATATTAACCAACCCAGTCTCATAAAAATACGTACCTCTGGGCATGGATGGGCAGTATTTATGATACATGTATTTCAAATACGTATTTCAAATACAAAATAGTATTTTGTAATTTTCGGTTTATTGAAGTGCGCATGTGTGATACGTGACAGGAACGCATAGTTACTGCAGATTTAAGTGCATCTAGACCGAGCAAACGTCTTGCAGTAAAGAAAGAAGGAAATATATCACAAAAGCAGACTTTTTCATGATTCAGAAAATGATAAAAATGTGTTCTCATCTCGTGCAGCAGAAGTAGAAGTGGTTCAGACACAATGCTGCGTTTATAACTGCATGAGAGCATAATAGCCTATATGAGCTGTAAGTTTCCCGACATGTTGCAAGTTGACATGTTGCAAGCTTAATTTAACATCACAACTGACAAATGTATGGAATACTCGGAGTCAGGTATTGAAAATATATTTATTTTTTTTACGTCACTACAGGGAAATAACCTGATTTATTCATGAAGTCATGTAAACGCAGCTTACTTGAGTTGTCAGGTTACTGATGTGCATGTAAACAGGGAAAACTGGTTATTTTAATAAGCTGATATTTGTGAGTTATCAGCTTACTGGTGTATATGTAAACGTGCTCAATTAATCATTCACATAATCATAATCGTTTGTTGCAGCCCTATGCTACAGGAGAGAAAAATCACACTCAACTCTTTCTCCTAGTTAGCAAACAGAGGCTTCTGCTTAAAGGTGCTGTGGAATACCACACATAACTTGACAGACATCTCAAGATCCTGACAGATGTCACTGGAATATGTGTCATACCTGTCTCGCTGACTGTGTAGACAGCAGGAAAGAGTCAGGGGAGCGGCCCACGCCTTTTAGCCTAGCCCAAATCTGGCCTATCAGGAACGCTCTCTGCATGTGACTCATTGTGCGTGTTCATGATTGCCGACATGTGTTAGAAGGCCTTTGAGAGGAGGACATGTGGTTGAATGAAGCAAAATGGTGAGAGTTAGCTAAACAGCTAAGAGAAATTACTCACAGCACCACATAAGTCTTTTTTTCCCCTGAGTATTCTCTATAAAATCTTATGCTAGTTTCTGGGTTTTGGAAAATAGCATGTCATTAGTTAATGGCACCAGCTACCAAGTTTCAGAAACCACTGTAACCCTACATTAAGACTAGCTTCTACCTGGTTTGTTGCTGGTCCAAGACGGTTTAGACGATTGCCAGTTTGTTAACTAAAACTAAAAATATTTAAAATGCTTTTGGCAATTAACAATAAAGCTGAAATACATCAGATAAATATTAGATGAAAACTTAAAGAAACTTGAAAAACTAAAATGAGAAATATTGTATTGGCAACTAACTGAAATAAATAAGTTGCCTAAAAGTTGATTACCAAAGCGAAAACTGAAATAAAAATTAAAGCTAATAAAAAAAATATATAAGCACACATTGAAAATATAGAAATACAAGCTAATTCAAAATATTAATATATCATACCCTTATAAAACAATTACCATGGATTTACTTCAAATAAACTATAGTTAACCCATGGTAACCACAAATTAACCATGGTTTAGCTACATTAACCATAGTTTAATCATAGTGTTTATAGTAAAACTGTGGTTATACTAATGGTAATCAAAAGGCTGAAAAACATTGCCCCGGGTACGTTTCTGCCATGAGACCAGGTTGCAACTAACGCGTTGTTTGGCCTTTTTTTGTGATTCTGTGCATTACTGTATGAATACAGTCCTGCAGGAAACCTGCATCATCTTTTGCTCTTCAACCTAAGTAAAAGTACCTGAAAAAATCGAAATACAGCAGTGACAAAGCCAGAGTTGTCCCTTTTGATTTGGTCAAACACACATTATATTTTTATGATAATATCGAGACACAGCGCTGGATGGAGTGTGGACACTTTGAGGTCTGATCAGTATGTTCTGCTCATCAACCCTGCCAAGATTCATACAGTAGGAGCTTTATTCCAAGTGTCCATGGCAACACACATTTATTCATCTAATTTGTTTTCCCTGCTTCCCACAGCAATGTTCACATTCATGTATGCAGGATCACACTCAAACACACCATGCCACCGGCAGGGACTAATGACCATAATGGAGAATAAACAGGATCGTGGGTGTGTGTTTGTGTGTCTGAAGAAACGGCTTTATCCTGCAAGATGTTGTGTTTGCCCGCTTTTTAGGAAATTATTTTTTTTGTGCTTAAGCCAAATAGTTGGCTGCATGCCTACAAACACATGAAAGACTACACACACACACACACACACACACACTAAACTGCATATTGACAACCTCAAACACACTGGAAATTTGCTTGCTGGCTTCTTTAATATCATGCCCTGAAATCGACAGATAGACCTTAAATACACACACAGATGCTTTATTACACATAAAATGTGTTACATATTGACCTTGGCTTCATATAATGTGCATTTAATGACTTTTGAGGCCTCTAACATGACTCTAATAAACGTGGGCTGCTCAATTTCAAAGCTTTTTGGCCTAATATTCCTTTCAATAAAAATACACACTCAGTTGAATTGAACCAGTGTTTGACCTGCTCAGTCAAAGATTTTCCACTCTTTTGGCCTGAAACTACTCAATTGCTCTGACAGTGGCTCTGCATTTATTACCCCGTGGAGTCCAGTAAGAGGTTTCTGATCATGTCAGAACACACAGGAAGTCTCTGTACTGAACACAATCCCTCCTACTAGACATATCATCATGTGGACAGGTTAGTCTAATCCACTGCCAGAGTTAGAGCTCATGAAAGCACTCATATTCGAGATATTTTTTTTGCATTTAAGGCATTTAGCTGATACTTTTAACTGATTACAAATTATTTTGTTTCTTGTGTACGACTGTCAAAGTCAACAGATGGCAAGAAATTCTGAAATTCATCTGCTAGAAATTTCTGTCTTTGTTCTCCACTGATTTTATGGTATTATTAGTCTTATCCTTTTGATTCTTGTTATTGTGTATTGTGACATAACTGTTCTTAATCGTACCTCTTACCTGACTGCAGAAGTCTGTATCTTCCAGATGTGTCCTTCATGTCCTTTTCTTCAAAAATGACCTCCAGTCCTACTGGGACAATAAAAATAATCTGTTCAGTTTGATATTCAGGGATGAGCACATCATAAAAGAGGAATGTGTTTGACCTTTATGTCTTTTTATGGTTTAGGTGATGATAATGTCACAGGAATGACCCGGTAGCGTTTATGAGCTGCAAAGACAGGCTTCAGATCACTGTACAAAATGCTGACAAATCCTCCTCATGTCCTCCTCATTTATTAATTAAAAACAAGATACCACAGACTAAAAAAAGAAAACTGAAATTAAAGTCAGACACCTCTGTTAAGGCAAACTGCTTTTAAGTGCAGTTTTAGTCTGTTTGAAAAAAAGTCTCACACAATGTAAAATACTCAAAGAACTTTGTACATTGTTTCAAAACAAACATAGAATTTTTACAAAATCTCATAACAGCCGTCTATTATAAATGTGTTGCCTCCACACAGCCAAATATTAGGCCAAATCAAGCGTTTAAAATCAGGTTACAATATCAGAAGTAAAAACTAGATTTATGGCTCATGTCGTCTCCCGTCTTCTTTCTGAAAATACCTGAAAATCATATATTCCAGAATCGTGGCAGCTAACGGAATGACACAAATATTATTATTTAACTGTGTTTCTGAATTCACTTATCGTTCCTGTCAGTGGCAGTCATAAAGTCATTCAGTCTATACGCTCCAATTGGTTGTGACTTGATTTCATATCTTACTGGAGGTGCCGTTTTCTGTATTGCTACACTGAAAACTCCCAGAGGCTCCGACGGCTAATCCAGAATCAGCAGGTCTTTATTGCGCTTTGTTTGAGCAAATCAAAAGTTCAGTCACTGTATCGCCGCGGCTCCTCCAGAGGTTTAATGTTATTTCTTCTTCCTGTACGAATATTACATGCATCGCCTCACAGCCTGAGATGCTTTTCTCTCTGTGTAGCTCTACTGTAGACGGTTATTCTTTTCTGAGATTTATAACCAGATGATATCAAGGGTCCAGAGTTGGCTCTCAAGCCCCGTTCACACCAAGAAAGATAACTATAAAGATAACGATATTAGCGTCCACACCAGCGAACAATATCGTCTGTTTATTCTAAGCGCACATGCGTCTGCCGCTTTAAATTCTTGAGCTCGTTACAGTAGGATGGATTCTGATTGGCTGTCAGTGTTTTATCGTTCATCAGCTGCAAAAAAATCGTTTTGAAAGTGATCACAACGATATCGTTCCTCTGTATCGTTATCATTATAGTTGTGGTGTGAACTATGCTATTCTTCAATATTGAGAACGATTTTTAGAACTGTATCTTTATCGTTATCTTTATAGTTATCGTGCTTGGTGTGAACGGGCCTTTACTTATGACCGATATATTGCTAGACTATATATTGCACTGTGACTCACTTTGGGAGGCCTGCAGTAATGATTTGGGTCAAATTTTCACCACTTAAATGATGTGCTCACTAAAGATCATCGAATCAGATCAGCTGGTGTTATTATGGAGATTTTTCACTGTGACAGAAGACATGATTCGAAGTGATTGCAGACAGCAGAAGACCACTTGAACCAAAGTGGTCCGTTTTGAATCTAAGAGTGTCTTTTTATTTAAAATGATCTTTCGTGCATATACATTTTGAGTGAAAAGAACTGAAGAAACAGCAAAGGAAAAGGTAACACTTTAGGGAACACATATTCACTATTAACTAAGAGTTTTCCCTCAAAAGGCTCCTAATTTGCTGCTTATTGATGCTAAGTAAGTTAGTTGTTGTAGTAGTTATAGGGTTAAGAGATCTAAAACACAAGACACAAACGTTATGCAGAACAAGGCATTAATATGTGCTTTACAAGTACTAAAAAACAGCATGCCAGCAAATATGCATGCCAATAACTAACAATCAACTATTTAATAGTGAATAGAGTTCCCTAATCTAAAGTGTTACCAAAGTAAGATCAACTTCTCACAGAAGCATACAAATAAAAACATATAAATACACTCACGCTGTTTTTCACTGATTCTGCTGGAGGTGAAAGGTTGACTTGTGATTTGCTATCTTTGAACAACCCTGAGGACGTAACAGATTCCTGCTGTGAAACATTCTCTCTTCAGGAAAATGCATTTCTCAGAAATCAAAACAAGAATTATGTGGGAACACAGTGTAATCTAACGGCATGTGAATCTGATGAAACCCTCAGAAATCATTAAATGAACAGACTTGGTCACAGTGAGAAATGCTAATCACCTGCACTATTCAGTGTGCATATATGCAAATCAGTGTATCACCATTTTCACTATTTTCCCTGGACTCTAAAAGTCGATCTTTGTATTTATGGAAAAAAAAAATAGTAAATAGTTAAAAAGATTTTGGCTCCGTCAATACAGTTGTTAATGTTAAATACGAGTATTTAAATACTAACATTATCTGTGAATATTTACCTTGTGTCTTCACTCTGTCCCACAGGATTCCACCCAACGTGCGGGACATTGTGTACTGCACAGGTGTTTCTCTGATGGATGAGGATGTGTGGGAGTTTATCTGGATGAAGTTTCACTCTTCTACAGCCATCTCTGAGAAGAAGGTTCTTCTGGAGGCCTTGACCTGCAGTGACAATATCTTCCTGCTCAACAGGTCAGTCGATATTCTTATACCTCATTAACAATGACATGATAAAGCAAAGAGATTCAAATAACAAGCCACTGTAGCATGACATGTTTATCAATCAGTCTTAGCTGAAAGTTTTAGCTTCTTTTTAGCTTGGAATGTCAGTACCATCCACCAGCCTCTTCATTCACTTTTTCAAGATTTTGGTGGGCTTTCTGCCATTTTATTGATAGCAAGAAGTGTCTGATTATAACTTACTAGTTAGTTTGCAGTCTACTGTACCTCATGAATCACATTCAATCCTCTCTTCCACATCATGTCACTCACACCAGCAGAGCTGCACTCACTCCACTGATGGGGCAGTAAAGACAATGGCTGCCGTAGGAGCTTTTCCCACAAGTCTCCACGGTGTCTTAAATCCTCTCCCAACTCAATAGTAGGATGAGGACGGTGACGGATTACACCCCGTCCAGAGTAGACGAGGATCTCAGAGCCCACACATATTCTGAAGCAGATTCACTGCGGGTTCGACATCTCCATTTATTCTGTTGCATTTGGTCATTGTTTTATGGATGCACTGAGAGAAAAAAACATTCCCATATAAAGAGACCCAGCATGACCCCTCTCTGCAGTGAGTGCTCAGCACTCAACAGGCTGATTCCTGTGGGACGGATTCAGTGTGAGGCTGTTGAGAGGGATGTGGTTTGCCTCACTAGAGGAAGAAGATAAATAGCACCACACTTAGTAAGCACACATCTCAGTGCTCTAGATCCATGCATTTTCATCTTCATGTTTAGATACTATTCATCATATTACAGTCAGCAAGGAAGCTATTCATTTTTTCTATAGTGGTAATTGCCTTCTTTGAAAGAACGAGTCATCCGGACTCGACTCTCCACAATCTCTGATGAAATCGGTTGGGTTTTCTCTGTATTAGAGCTGTTTTGAATTTACTGTTTGAACGCATTCGTTTACTGGATCCTTGGACTGGAAAGTTTACAGGAGTTTACCGGTTTTTAAGATATTGTTTTCGCTGTAATGTACTGATTCAAATTAGTAATCAATAATTAACTATTATTTTACCACTCTGCGCGCATCCCCTGACATGCTCTCACGCATGAAGAAGCAGCAGTCACTGTCGGCAATCGGCATCCTCTCTGACTGACGGAGCGGGCGAGGGCGCAGGCGCAATCATCAAACATATTTCAAAGGAAGCCGGCGCCTGACCGCATCACTGTCTTTACTGGGTGTTTTTAGGGAATATCTGTATTTTTTACATGCGATTGGATTAGCTATTCATGTGGTGGACTGTCATGATTTTGCCTAATGCAGGACACTAATGAATGATGTGCATCAGTAGGGATTTAGAAGTGGGTATACGCAAAGCCGACTGATAAAGAAGTGGGTATACACCATATACCTGCGTATACCCTCCACCACACCACTGTGCTAGTATGCTAATCTGAACATGCTAATCCTTACGTTTGCTTTATCAGTCATGAAAAAAGCCGTGCTATGCTGACAATGTCACAATTATACCTGCTAGAAATCAATTACACAAGTCCAAAATCTGAATTTCTAAGTGCAAAATTAGAAAAAGAAACTTGTCTGAAAGCTTGTTCGCACTTGTCCTTAGAGGAAGCTGGAGATGTCACGCTTGCGAGCTGTGAAGCTGCCGTCCGCACACAGATGTGAGCTTTGTCACAGTGGCAATAATCAACAGGGTGTTCGGCAAAAAAAGGTGCTACAAGTGACTCGGCGACGCATGAAGGCAAAAGCCCAGAAGAGCGGTTCAACTGAAATAAGAGACCAAAGAACAGCGAAGCAATCACCCCACGTTTTTGCAAATTGAAACTTGTGCTCCGTGGCAGCATCTTTATGTGAAACATCTTATTTCCTATTTCTTCCTTTTTCATCTACTTGACATTTCGCACCAATTTAGAGCGAATGAGTCTATCTGGATTTGATTTGGTCTTTTCAGGTTAATTACTTTTTGAAAGCGCTGACTCACAGTCTTGAAAACATATCTGAATAATTGTGTTTCGCCAGGCCTGTCAGCGGCTGTCTTTGCTGAAAACGGAGAAGAATAATGTGTTTTGTATTTCTGATTTACTGAAGCTTAAAACTAGCATAGAAAAATTTATTAGAAAGGCTTAATTACAACAGACACGATCATGTTCGTGATAATAGCCATATTAGTCAAATAGCCATTAATAAGCCAAGTTTTGTATTTATACCAAGTTCTTCCAAGTATAAGAGTGCAACTAATGAAGTATATCATTTATTTTCAGTTTATTGAAACTGTTTCAGCTAAGCTCCACCCGCTTTGTTTGTTTAACATTCCATAGGATTGAATTGGAGGGCAACTTGTGTTCGTGAAGTGCTAAAAATATAATTTTTCAGAATAAAATCTTTAAAAAAGTTTTAAAGTCCATATCATGGCCACACCACCAATTCATTTTAAATAATTCAGGGGCCCTTGTCAATTATTCCTCACTTATGGTTCATCTCCCATTTATTTCTGATGTCCACAGGCTCCTGAATCTGTCCCTCACCTCTGACCTGGTGCCGGATCAGGAAGTGATCGATGTCATCATTCATGTCGGCCGCAATCCGCTTGGAAGACATTTAGCGTGGAGATGTTTCCGCGAGAAGTGGGACATATTGAATTCCAGGTGAATATGGCTTTATTCATCTCTGTTTATCAGTGATTTTAACCTTCCTCTGAGTCCCTGATATGAATTTCACATTCGCACTTTCATAAGATATTTATTGCTGAATGTTATTTTGTGTCTTGTTTGTGTTTGGAGGACCGAGAGCATTATGGGAAATATCTGTTGGTGTTTGTTTGCTTCTGGGCTCATTAGAGTGGTGCTCCAGTGCTTTTAATAACAGTGTCTCTCATTGGCAGGTATGGAGAGGCCTTATTTATGAACTCAAAATTAATCAGCGGCGTGACAGAGTTTCTCAACACTGAAGCCGAGTTGAATGAGGTGAGGCTGAACTTTTACATCATCCTGATGCTAGAGGTACACCTCTAATCATCGAATCTTCATGGAACATTAATACTTACAAACAAACTTTGGTCATCAAGTTATTGAGATGGAGAAAGTGAGAGAAAGTAAACTCTGAAGATTGCAGAATTGTGCTCTGGACCATTTCGTTGGGATATTTCCTCATTGTAGCTGCTTAACCTTATTCCAGGAAATGGAACGTATATTCACTTATTCAAATTCATTCAGCTTCAGTCCCAGAGGACACAGAGTGCTGATGCTTCTCACTGCAGCGCAGCACTTTCTCATCCAGCTGACTTCGCCTTCCACAATTTATCATTCATACAGAGATAATACGAACCCCCTCAGTGTTTTCTTAAACAGAGCATTAGCATACTGTCACTGACAATCAGCTGCTGCCAGAGCACTTCATCCACAGATTCATGAACAATCAGCGATATGTTTAACCCTTAAATGCATACCTCAGGTCTTTAGCGACTTGGGACGTCATTCACTACCCTCCATTTTTGAAAATTTAAAATGATTCAATTTTCTTTTTTAGTATTCCTCAATCTATTTATTATAAACAATATAACAAGAAAAAAAGAATAAAATATAAAAGAATGTCTGTTTTCTGATTATTTTTTGTAAAAAGTGTATGAGGTCGCTAGAGACCCGTGGTATGTAATAGTGTAAGTATATTTTTCCTGCGCAACAATATTTAAATATCTGATGACTCAATACATGCAATTCACCTTTATTTCTCGAGGTGGCACTGTTTGATAGACAACAATGACGAGATGTTTCACTCATAATTACCGCAGGCATAAAACAAAAGAATACCATCAGCAAAAATTGAACTGGTTTGAATGGCTTTACTGCAGAGCAATTACTATACGCAATGAAATATAAATGTCACTATCATTGATGTTGGATGTGGTGAATAAGCTGCCAGCAATCAAAATATTAGTTTTGAAGTCATTGAAAACGATAGTTTTGAGAATACGCTTCTCAATCGCGAATATGAGCCAGATGCTGAATGTACTGTGGAAGTGTTCTTAAAATATCAAGAGGGATTTTTGCTATTGTAGCATCATTGGATGTTGGATGTGGTGAATAAGCTGCCAGCAATCAAAATATTAGTTTTGAAGTCATTGAAAACGATAGTTTTGAGAATACGCTTGAGATCGCGAATATGAGCCAGATGCTGAATGTACTGTGGAAGTGTTCTTAAAATATCAAGAGGGATTTTTGCTATTGTAGCAGTTAGAGATCCATCTGTGCAGGATATATAGGTCCGGGTCGCTAAAGACCCAAATATGTAGTAATGACTGGCAAAACATTCATGCATTTAAGGGTTAACGCTGTGTGTTTGAAATGAGCATTTTCTTTTCTTTTAAAAGTTTCAATGAACGAACAGCAATTTTGAAATAGTTCAGGAGCAATATTAGCTTTAATCCTGAATCCCCGTGCACATTCATTCATGTAGTCCTCATGACCTCAGGAATTGGGAATCGGGTTTTGTAACGTTATTTAGTAAATGGCGATTTTTGATGAGATTTTTATGCCCTTAGTTGATGTTAGAATTTGTTTTTGACACACCCAAGTGTCCTTTTCTTCCAATAAAACAACAACACTAATAATTCTGTTTACTTCAAATGCATTCCCACACCTCATTATCATAAACATCATTGTTATCTGCTGAATTACATGTCAGGAATTTGCATGTAAATGCATCGTATATTCTGACGCCGTTTAACTGTCAGAGATTAAGGTGCCACTTACAAGCATAAACACACAAGATCTGATACATCAAGACACAATACAATGATAATGTTAATAATGAAAATTGTTTATTCTCTCCTCAGCTGAAAGAGTTCATCCTGACCAGCGGGGGAGAGTCAGCACCTGCGTTCGCTCGAGCCGTTGAGATCGTTCAAGCGAATGTAAAATGGCAAATCCTGTTCCAGCAACAGTTTTACCGATGGCTGCGGAAAGCTCCTGATGGTTAATGCAACATTAAGCATGGAGCGCTCTATTAGCATGGAAACTCATGGCCAGTGACGTGGGGAGATATAAGTGAAATAAAAAAATCGAAAAAACTATTCTGGACTACGAGAATCAACAAAATTGAGCTTTTATTTCCCTGCTGTTTTTGAAACGACCAGGCCCTCACAGACCAGGATGAAATGAATGGCTGAAAAACACTGAAGGAATCGATGTCGGAAATTGCATGATGGCATACGTCAGTAGTGAGACGATTTACATTCCATTTCCCCTCGTATTTTGCATGAAAGTCATTTCCTTCTTGCCTTCATTCTGTTTTTCCTGAAGCTTGACCTTTTCTGAGTCCTGAGAATATCGGATTTGCTTTGAAGACCAGATGACGGTACAAAGAGATTGCTCTTCGGTATATATAAACACAAATTAGATTAAGCACAAATATGTGACAATCAGTGTTTTGATTGGAACAGTACGAAGAGGACAAAGAGGAGAAGTATTCATGTAGCCTTTTCTCTCTCCAAAGCCATAAAGAGGAGCAGACTGAATTTTATCTCTTGTACAGATGGCGTTTATTGTTTGATGAATTGATGGCACTCAATGGTCATCAGAAGATGGAATCTTTTGGAGGGTTTTCTGCTGGTCCTGGCTGAAGCGGCGATGGTTTAACCCGCAGGTGTCTTGGATCCTTTGCATTCTCATAGTGTTACTCTTCGCTCTCCAGATTGGGAGGGTTTGTCCTTGAATACGGTATGTTTGTTTGAGTGGAAAAATAGTCAGTGTGTCGATATTTTCATGTATGATTTATTGATAAGCTGGAAGGAGGTCAATGCAGTGCTGAGATGTTATCTTGTTGTGGATAATGTGAGCTTTTGAAATGGATGGTTGTCATGGAGACCAATTATAAAGGTTTTCATAGTTTTATCTTTCTTCTTCTGTCAGTTTTTTTTTTTTTATATGGACATGAATTGTTAAACATGTGCAGTGTTGAAAATGATGTAGTGGTTGACCAATATGCGGGTTCCTGTATGTTTGACTTGTTTTAAGAATGTTAAAATAATATCAGTTAAGCAAGACAACTTTACATTTGAAGCAAAATTGTGTAATATAATGCTTTTCAAAGGATATATCTTGAATTCTATTTATTTTTCTTGCTCAGATTGTTTCCTTAGTTTTTTTAAGCATTTGTCTGTGCAGTTTTGCTTCTGAGGTAAATTGGTCTTGATTTAAGGATGCCTGAAAACCATAATAGGCATGATAAATGTAATGATGGCAAAACAGATGTATAGAAATTTGCTAAAATGTGACAAGGGCACAATATTTACTCAAAATTTATATAAAAAAAATAAATAACATTATCTATCAACAATCATAACGAGTATTAACACCTTTTAATTGGCCAATCAAATCCGCTAATCTGAAAAATGGCCATTATCAGCCAGTTGGTCGTCCTGGTCGATATATTGGTCCATCACTACTGTATATGACTCTCAGGCTTGGGCAAAATTCAGAATTGAACAACTTGAAGAATTTGAAGACATTAGAGGAGTTTCATTAGACCGACATGGCTTAACACGGCTAACATCAAAATGTTAATATACTGATTATATATTAAACTAATTTCAAAAAGCCTCCTATTGGAATTTTTATTAATTCTGTGAATATTTTTTTCTGCACTGGAATATGTGAAATATATTATTAGCTACATAATACATAACATTTTTCATTCTCCAACAGTTAATAAATGTGTCTGGAAATACCTCATATATTGTGAGTATGGTAAATTGTACATCACACTTACGCTTTTATTTTGGTTAATTTATACTGGTGATTCGTTTTAGAAACTACATAAAAGCTCTCATCATTTTAATTCTGCATCCTCTTTGCTACCTCAATTCAGATTCAGTTCAAATTCAAGAACTGAACTGCAATTTGTAAGGCATTCTCAATTCAGTTCTGAATGGTGCACAACCCTGAGTTCTGAGTCTATTAATAGTCTCTTGCATCCAGTTGGCGGTGTGGATCTCTCGAGGAATAAAACTGGGGAACATAGGCCACTTTTCAAATGACTAGCTGGGTATTTAATGAAATCCCCAGGCAAGACCCTTTAGTCGGATACTATAAAGCTGTAAGTTGCCTGTGTAATATCAAAATGATCCAACGTACATTTCCAGCCTTTTTATTTTTCTCCTTTCATGTTGTGTTTGACGTAAAGCTCTCTTTTGTTTCTAAATTAGAGATAATATCCTCTGTGTTTTGAGCAGAGCTGCTTAGAGATTTTAATGCTTACAATAAATTATTTTGTACAGTAATGCATCCTGGTCTAACTGTGCCTGTTATTGAGAGCTACCTCCATCCAGAGCTACCCTATGCTTCTGCTGCTTCAGTGCTTATGCTGTTACAGGAAATTTCTGTCTGTGGGGCCAAGCATCAAAGGTATTTGGTTAGTTAGGTTACAGTCAAACTCTAACGTGACACCAACAGCTCAATTTCCACTCATTTATCTGCTTTTGAACCTCTTATACATATAATTATAGATCAATTGTCCATTATCTTGAATTGATCGTTTTTCACTGCTTCTCCTACAAACTTCACAAAATTACACCAATATTGAAATTCTAGCTGATATCGATGTGCTGATTATTTCCATGTTGTGGCTCATAATATATCACATTACAATACAAATGATGATACAATATACAGTATAATGGTATGTCACAGGGCCTATACGTCATGCCACTTTTCAAGATATTTTTCACATATCTTGTAATTACAAAAATATTTGTTCCCTGAGGAGACTCTAAGCCATGTGGATTTGAAGGAAACAAGTTTGTCTGTGTATCTGCCAATTCCTATGAAGCCAGCAATCATAATTTGATATTTTTTTTAATTTGTTTTTGGCCTGAAAATAATACTTGAGGGGGCTGAAGAAAAGAAAAGAAAAGATCTATTTATTAAAATTTTACGCACAGATCTAAATGTATGAACCTACTAACCTGAGATATTCTGAAGTAGTCCAGTTAGTTCAACTTTAATTTACATTGACATCTCCATGTTAAAATGTTTAATGCACCCTTATTGTGATTATACGACTCTCACTTTCATTACATGTGAGTATGGAATGTGAAAATATCTAATATCTCACAGTCACAGGCATTTTTGTAATTAGCTGTTGGTATGAAGCCTGAAAGTGAAAATATTATATGAGCATATATTGCAAGTCTTGCTGCCATTTGACCTCCTGCTCTGAGTGCCTGCTTATTTTAATCTCAGGAGCATCACAAGGGTCTGTGCCCTGCGTAGTAGTCTTACATGCTCTTTCCTTCTGTCTTTATGTGTTTTTGCAGAGAAAAACTAACAATCCAACTGTGAACAGTTGACGGTAGCAGTTGACTTCCATAGTATGGAAAAAATGCTATGAAAAAGTCAACTGTTTGCTTACCAGCATTCTTCAAAATATCTTCTTTTGTATTTAGCAGAAGAAAGAAACTCGTGCAGGTTTGAAGCAACTTGAGAGTGAGGAAATAACAGAATTTTCATTTTTGAGTGATCTGTCCCTTTAAAATAATAAATAGAACTTCCTTAATTTAATAGTGAAGTAAATGACTATTAATCTGTTGTAATTCAAAAGTATGGTGCTCTTTTTTCAATTGGAGCCACTGACCTTTAAAATATCTTCACACGGCCATGTTTGTAGATACATTTGTATGTCTGTTTATGGTTAAGGAAGAGTGTTGACTCATCCTTCTGTTTCACCTCTCAGAGACATAATAAATCCTGTGATCTGTAAAACTTCAAAAAGCCTCAGAATATAAATAAATAATTATAATCTACCAGAGAACGGCAAACTTTCCAATTGTGCTGACATTTCAGAACAAAGCACTTCAAGAGACCATAAATCCTTTTTGTGCCGCGAATGCAAATGAATATTTTGCCATTTCCACAATACCTACAATCAGAGCACTTTCACATTTAAATCAATGGTGGGAGTTGGAATGGATTCTGTCTTATCACAGGGCTTTGTTTACTGTAGTGTTAGAAAAGAAGGGAGAAAGATGCGAACGTGTGGAAAATAAACAAGGAAGACAAAATAAACATTTGTCTTCCTTACAGCAAGACAAATCACAGAAAATCATAAATCACAGGCTTCATGTGTATCATCCAGCAAGTATTCCTACAAAGTCAACACCCTCAACCATACTGGAAAATTCTGGAAAAACTGGCATATCATTGAGCTTCCAAAAGAACTGCTAATTCTCATTTTTACTTTCCCTGCCAACATTTTCTTTGTTTTAAGCAGCATGTTTTTTATATGTGAGAAAATAATTATATTTTAACAACTAAACTACAAACAACTGTTTGTTGAAGTGCCCTTCTGTGTCATCATCACGTGCACACATGGAGGCGCCGTCATCATGCAAAGAATCTGCGCAAAGGATCATGGGAGTGTCCATCAGTTGTACCCTTCGAAATCCTTCATTCCGAAGGGCCCTTTGAAGTGGCCAGTTTTTAGCACTTCGGTTTGAAACGATCCTTCAATATGTCGGCCAATATGTATGCCCTTCGGAGAGCGATATATCCCAATTGGAATGCACCGTATGTTGCATTTGCAGTCACCTTGGATTTAGGGTGCCGTCACATTAGTGAAATGTCGCAGGCAAAAATGCTTTGGGAATTTTTTATGTATATATATATATATGTATATATATATATATATATAGAGCCGCAACGCACTGCAGACGTGTGCAGTGTAACGGTCCTTGCACACTGATCCGAAACTCTCGTTCAAAATTTTTGCACGTTAAAAAATAAATACGACCTCACTTTGTGTCAATCACGTTTACACAGTGCCTCCGAAACTTTCGTCCGTCATAAAGAAAAATTCGATTGGTTTAAATTTTCTGCGTTTTTCGCATCTGTAATAATAAAAACAATAATAATAATTCCTTACATTTATACAGCGCTTTTCTGGGCACTCAAAGCGCTTTACATAGAAGGGGAGATCTATGTAATCTGTATCAAGCATTTTGAGAGGTTTTTTGACAATTTAGAGTCACCGTACAAGAGAACGCCAAAATCCAGAATGGCATCTGACAAGTGTGTGCCTGCATCCTAATGTTCATACTATGTATGCGAGATTAGAATAACCCTGTGTTCCATTCAGAAGGGCTCATCCCTACGCCCTAATCCCTTCAAAGTGTTTACCCTCTGCAGTGAGAGCTTCGAAGGGATGAAGGGTGTAGGGGTCAATTCACTTCTGCGTCATCTTAACGAGACGATCAAGGAGATGCCTTCCTTGCACATTTTGTATGCTGGTTGACCCCCAGTCGTCTTTACATTAAAATGTATATTTGTATATGTAATGTAATATGTATTTGTAATGTATATTATGTCTATGTATTTGAAACATTTGAATGGACTAATAACGGTAGCTGTACCAACAAAAGTATTTTTGTTGAAGTACAATGTTGTTTTGACCATAATGTACCAAATCTAAGTCTTATAAATATTACAGTAGTACAGAAAAAATACTATACATATATTCATAGGTAAAGTCAAAGTCTGTGACACCAAATTTCCCTGTGCAAAGGATCATGGGGACCCGAAGTGTCCATCAGTTGTACCCTTCGAAATCCTTCATTCCGAAGGGCCCTTTGAAGTGGCCAGTTTTTAGCACTTCGGTTTGAAACGATCCTTCAATATGTCGGCCAATATGTATGCCCTTCGGAGAGCGATATATCCCAATTGGAATGCACCGTATGTTGCATTTGCAGTCACCTTGGATTTAGGGTGCCGTCACATTAGTGAAATGTCGCAGGCAAATATGCTTTGGGAATTTTTTATGTATATATATATATAGATGTATATATATATATGTATATATATATCTATATATATGTATATGTATATATATATCTATATATATGTATATGTATATATATATCTATATATATGTATATGTATATATATATCTATATATATGTATATGTATATATATATCTATATATATGTATATGTATATATATATCTATATATATGTATATGTATATATATATCTATATATATGTATATGTATATATATATCTATATATATGTATATGTATATATATATCTATATATATGTATATGTATATATATATCTATATATATGTATATGTATATATATATCTATATATATGTATATGTATATATATATCTATATATATGTATATGTATATATATATCTATATATATGTATATGTATATATATATCTATATATATGTATATGTATATATATATCTATATATATGTATATGTATATATATATCTATATATATGTATATGTATATATATATCTATATATATGTATATGTATATATATATCTATATATATGTATATGTATATATATATCTATATATATGTATATGTATATATATATCTATATATATGTATATGTATATATATATCTATATATATGTATATGTATATATATATCTATATATATGTATATGTATATATATATCTATATATATGTATATGTATATATATATCTATATATATGTATATGTATATATATATCTATATATATGTATATGTATATATATATCTATATATATGTATATGTATATATATATCTATATATATGTATATGTATATATATATCTATATATA